AAAAATATCTCCAGCTTTAATATCTAAACCTGATGTAATGAAATCTGTCAGACCAAATGTCTAACAGAAAATGCTTTCACCATGTCTGCAATCAATGCCATAGCACGAAGATGACACATTAATAGAGTTACATGGTCTTCACGGGTAACACAGCAACAAACACATTGGCAGTTATCGTTGCCACACAATCCCCATTTTGATTGCCTTATGTATGAGGTATGCAGGACCTATTTTGCCAGATAATCCACATTTGGTAACTAAATGTGGTACAAGAAGGTGTGGTGAAATGGGGCTTAATGTCATGTTTAAGATTATTGCACTTAAATAACAACATGTGTGCATGCATGCATGCTTCTATCAGCTCGGACTAATGCTGGTTATAATAGTGCTAGCCCACTAAGATACTATTCCATGAATACCCCACTCGGACACAATATACAGATTTCATGCTGACCAGTCCTTGTTTTATCCCCTTAACGCCAAGCACCAGGCAGGGTAACAACAAGAATCACCTCTTAACGTTTTTTGGTATGACACACCTAGGGATTGAACCCCAAACCTTCGACACTCCGGGCAGACGCTGTGTCCACTAGGCCACGAAGGCAGTTGTGGTACAGGACTTTATCCCATGTACATTGAATACACAAACCTACAATATGTTATCAATATCTCAGAAATAGCAGTCTTAAGCCACATTTAACTGTGCAGAGTTGCATCAGTTAAGTGTACAAGAAACCAATGATCATGAGTTTGAATTCCAGATTAGACCTGATGTTGTTTCTTGGTTTCAGCAAAGTGGTAAACATCTAAAACTGAGTAGCTTCAGCCTTCACCCTACATCAAACTGACCTACCATGATAAAACAGAAATCCTGTTCAAAGCAACATTAAACCAACCTCACTCACTGGGTTGAAAGTTGGTTGGTTGGTTGGTTGTTTAACGCCGCACTCAACAATATTCAGGCTATATGATGGCTGTCTGTAACCAGACAATCCAGTGATTGATATCATGAGCATAGATCCATGCAATTGGGATAAGATGACACATATCAACCAAGTCAGAGAGAATGACCACCTGATCCCGTCTGTCACCTCTTACGACAAGCATAGTCGCCTTTTACAGCAAGCATGGGTTACTGAAGACCTATTCTACCCCGGGTCTTCACGGATCACTGGGTTGAACGGGTTAAAAAGGTTAAAAGTCTGCTAATATTTGGCCTATGGACAACAGCAAACACAGGTGTCCTGAAGTGTGTGGTTTTGTTTGTTTGTTTGTTGTTTAACGCCACACTGCGCAATATTCCAGCTATATAATGGAGGTCTGTAAATAATCAAGTTGGGACCAGACAATCCAGTGATTGACATTATGAGCATCGATCTACGCAATTGGGATACCATGACATGCATCAACCAAGACAGGGAGCCTGACCACCAGATCCCGTTAGTCGCCTGTTACGACAAGCATAGTCACCTTTAACGGAAGGTATGGGTTACTGAAGACCTATTCTACCCTGGGTCTTCACGGGTGAGAAGTGTGTGGTTCAGTGGACAAACTCATCTGCTTTGATATAGTCACACAAACTTGTATAGAATGTACTCATTTTCAGTGCCTTTAAATGTTGGGAAAGTATGTGTAATTATGATTGAAAGAGTCTAGACAGGATGTTGCCAGCCGACTGATAATCATATCTGTCAGTAACACACACACAAGACCTGGAAGACTATCTGATTTGTTCATGTATACACAGGAAAATAGCCTTCTTGGCTATTGAGATATTTGGAGGATGGTTTGAACATCAGCTGGTCCTGCTGCCAGTTAAGTGTTTCCACTCCACTCTACACCTGCGACAGTGTGAAAACCATATGCCCTACTAGGGAATACATCATGGCACAATATTCCAGTCACACTCAGTTCCTATTACTTGTCTCACCATCTGATCATTATTGTAGTCGTCTTTCTTGCCAGTTTGGGGTATACGGGGACCTACTTTACGAGGAATCCCATCTATAACCTTTACATTCCAACAGGCATACAATCACTAAAGGCTAAGTAGTGGAATAATTATCTGTGTTAACAAATATTTCATTACATACAGGCACAAAGTCTTTTCACTCAAAGACATCACTTAGATCCTGGCAAATCAATGTTCCTCACAGACCTTTTCCTGTGTCTTTTTTTGTATATTTACATTGAAATGTTTTATTGATCTCTAAACCTGCTCTTTACGAAAGCCCTTCACAGGAGGACAATGACTACATACAGAGAGTATGCTGAAAAATTTGAGGATATGTATCGCATGGGTCAAGATCTAATGATTAACATGTGTTCTCCCAAGACAATACCAATGTCTTATTGGGCAATAATAGGATTCAGTTCAAAATAGCATGTGTCTGATAAAAAAACAGCTAATTTGACCCAATTATACTGGATAACTTGAGGCTACTCTATTCCAATAACAAGGATCTAAGGATATATAAATGCCAAAAAATACTAGAAACAAACAATATTGATTACAGAAAATTATGAGCTTGAACTAAAACAGAAGCAGCCGGTTCACTGCCATTTCCTCAAAGGTTCCACAAGTGTAATATACCATGTACTTCCAATCCTGAAACATTACGTTAGAAATTGGGACTAGTCCTGTAGTCCTCGTCAACTTGCCCAATAGTAAAGGTATCATAAGAACTAGTAGAAGTTTGCCCTTTTAAAGGGTCTTGCTATATGTTATCATTATAAGGACTAGTGGACTAGAACTGTGTTATCACTGACCTTTCAGGCCTTGACCTTAATCAAGACAACTTCATAAGATCCAACAATTACCAAGTCTCAGGACTGTACAAGTAAAAGTGAAACAGTTAACTGGCAATGAACGATGCAACCATGTTTCACAATAACCTCAAAGATGACCTTGGCCTTGATAGCTATTCCACAAATGTTTCATGTGGTAGGATTTGCAAAGGTACATGCAAAAATATGTTCAATGTCACCAGAGGTAGCCATTCCTCAGAAACTGACAGTTACATAATCAAACTTAACAAATTCAAACTTTTAACACATTCAAACTGTTAACACCAGTTCACAAATGGAATATCTTCAAAAACAAATTCCATTGGGCATAAAAGGCAAAATAGTGATGAAAATAAGAATGGATCACTGAAAATCAGTGAAGATGGCAGGTGGTTACGAAAAGTCTAAGCAAGGCCTTCTTCCAGTAACACCCGCCTCTCACACAGTTTTTCACCAAATGTGTAAGTGCCGGAGAGTAAGGAGGAGTGAAAGCTAGTATGTGAGTCCATTATGAGCATCTGCAAATACCAGTCATTTACATAAAACCACTCCATTGTAGCAACGAAAAGCTGGCCCCCCAAGTGTTCACCAATGCCTAACTAATCCCCAGTACTGACCAGTTCAAGCCTTCCTTCCTTTTCTAAGGGATTCTCATCAATAATATTACATACAGAGTTGCTTCAGAGGCTCTAACTCAATGACGAAGATGTAGAATCTAAACATGCTGATGCAGCTGTTTCAAATATCAAGAAAGACGAGGAGCTGGTCAAACCTTATCTTTGTCAATTTGTGGAAGAGAAAGTCAATGTTGTTGATAACACAGTCAGCAATATTCCAGCTATGTCATAGCAACCTGTAAATAACTGAGTCTGTGCAAGGCAATCCAGTGGTTGTCGACGAATCCAGGCTGTACCATAATGACATATATTCAACAATTGTATCACCCTGATCCTCAACAAGGCAAGACATTTTCTTCCCTTCTTGTTTTTGGATTTATTAAGTTTACCAACATTAATACAGGCTGATATGATATCTCAAAAAAAGATTTAACTTAACCTAAAAAAAATAAACATTTGGACGCCTATCCCACATGACAAAAGCTACAGAAATCCCAGTCTCAACTCTGAACATAACAATCTTATAAAAACATACAATCTCTTCACTGGTTCAATAAATGGTCAGAATAATAATTACAAATGGATAACTTAAAGATGTTTTTCATCAAGGCCAATGGACGCTGTCTCGGCCTATATCTGTTAAAAATATAGTAGTGCAACGCAAGTGGCATGTGCTACAGTGAACTTTCTTTCCTTACATGATTCCAGGTATTTCCTGAAAGTCTTTCATTCACTCATGCTTCCAAATCCAAATCTTTAAGTTTCCATGGTTACGCCAACAAAACCTACCAGGTACTTTGCCCCCCCCCCCCCACCGGGTCCTAATTTAGCATTATCTCCAGCTAAATCCGACATTGTCACGCAGGTGGCGAAGTATCTCCTTTTCACATTAAGATTTTTTATCCTTACAGCATGGCATTTCTTTTTAGTCTCTTAATACTTGTTTATAAGCTCATATTTAGTTGTTTAATATCAAATTAATCGATAACGTACAATGATCAAACAACATTTCAAGAGAGCATTCTTGAAAAGAATTCTACTCAAAAGAAGTTGAGGACCACACGTTTCTTTCACATTACTATAGTTAATCTATCGTACCATGTGTAATATGGATGAATTGGGTGGTCCTTCTTGGACAAATCTTCTTTGTCCATTGGAAAAGAAACGAGAACTGAATCACACATACCTCAAGCTCTACATTGCCCAAATGGCCACGTTGCACATCAGAAATCTCATTCCTGAAAAATTCTTGAAAATACCCCCCCAAATCCACCATCAAAGATGTCTTCAACTAGCCCTCATGGATTTGACATGTGTAAGTTTCACATGTGCAATCAGCAGTGTTACAAGCATATGTACATGAGGTTGGATAATGAGCACACCTATATGCTTCATCCATTAGGATGAGCAATACTGATGAGAAGTGAGTGAGTAAGTGTCAGTTTACCCCTCTTTCAGCAATATTCTAGCAATATCAGGGAGACACCAGAAATGGGCTTCACACATTGTACCCATGTGGGGAATCTAACCCGGGTCTTCGGTGTGACGAGCGAACCCGTCCACCCCTACTGATGAGAAAGTAATGCTGTAACAAACCTGACTGTTTCTGTCGTTGATCAGCTCGATAGACCAGCGACCTTCATGCTTTATCCACACAAAGATGACACCTCTGCTGTCACACGTTGCAAGCTTTTGATAAGGTTCATTCCATCGGACAAGGATCACCTGAAATAAAACACAAATACATTGATTCAAGAATAATTATTTCTGTAAAGTTGACACAAAATCCCAAGAGGGGTTGTTCAGGAAATGATGTAGCATATTATATGCTCTATTCAGTTAATACAAGTGTGTGTAGTATGTGTCCAATGTCAAGATGAACATAGTACATGGATAACATGCAGACAATACCAGAAATAGAAACCATACAGATTGCACTGTCAGCAATATTACAGCTACATCATGGCAAGTACCTGAGTAACGGCCAGACAATCCAGTGTCTGATTGGACGAGCAGTCATCACACTGATAGTATACAGACAAACATTGTCATACAATGTTACCATACAGATTGCACTGTCAGCAATATTACAGCTACATCATGGCAAGTACCTGAGTAACGGCCAGACAATCCAGTGTCTGATTAGACGAGAAGTCATCACACTGATAGTATACAGACAAACATTGTCATACAATGTTACCATACAGATTGCACTGTAAGCAATATTACAGCTACCTCATGGCAAGTACCTGACCTTCTCAATGCACCATATTACTACCTTTCAATCATGACCATGAATACATCAAAAAGACTTCTTATGACATTCTTATCTTTCTTTTCTATTTTTTGTTTGTTTGTTTGTTGTTTCACTCAGCAATAATCCAGCTCTATGACAGCAGTCTGTAAATAATTAAGTCTGGACCAGACAATCCAGTGATTGTTATCATGAGCATCAATCTACACAATCAGGATACGCTAACATGTATCAACCAAGTCAGCGAGACCATCTGATTCCGTTAGTCGCCTCTTAGGACAAGCATAATCATGACTTGAGCAAAGCATGGGTTGCTGAATTCTAACCCGGACTAAATAATAATAATAATAATAATAATAATAATAATAATAATAACAACAGGACATTGTTTTTAATAGCACATCAACATACCATGTTCATCTTTTTAAAATTTTCAAAGCATTCATTGTGGTTTCACAATTGGATTGGATAGGAAATAATCAAGAATCTCACGGGTAATTACAAAAAAGTATGTCCTGATAACGGCCTTAGTAGAGTCCAGTACATATCAGAGGTTTTACAATGTAATGCACAAGGCTGCATGTAATGCACTGCCATGTAATACGCTCTTGACTAATGAGTGAGTGAGTGAGTATGGTTTTACACTGCTTTCAGCAATATTCCAGCAATATCACGGCGGATGACACCAGAAATGGGCTTCACACTTTGTACCCATGACGGGAATCAAACCCGGGTCTTCGGCATGACGAGCAAACGCTTTAACCACTAGGCTACCCGACTGCCCTCCTGACTAATGAATAGGCTGCAGTAATCTCAATTCACACAAATTTGATGATTCATTTCAAAAGCACCATCCTGCTCTTTTGGTCCTACTTGCAAAATACATAAAATAACTATTAATGTGTCCAAATTATTACATTCTTAGATATAATATGATTCATTTTATACGAATGGATATGATCTTCAGACAGTTTTATATGGGAATGTTGCAAAATCAGCACATGAAAACTATTGTTCAGTCTGTCCATCATTTCCGGCAAGCACATGTCTTACAGTTTAAAAATTGCATTGTCAGCTCTTATTGTTGATTCAGTAATATGTGTTTGCTATTAAATCATTATACATAAAGTGGTATGTCATGCATCATGTATTGTGTTGGATAAACATTTGGCTTGTTTGCCAATCCATTTCGATTGCATGAAATAATTGTTTGAACATATATTGCATTACGGTGTATATCTTGCAGAGTATCAGAAAATTTGGTATCTTTAAGATACAAACTGAGATGTTCGGCATTACCTCCACCATCATACAGATTGATGTACCACACTGACCATGTTAGATTAATGCTGCTTTGAACAGTTACAGTTATATCACAGCCTGTCAGCTTAATGTGGGAGGAAAGCCCGAAGGGATGCAGGTTTACCGGGGGCCAAGGGTGGCCCAGTCGTCTAAGGCGCCGCGATTTGCTGTGCAGAGTTGCGTCCCTTGGGCATGCCAGAAACCTATGATTGTGGGTTCGAATCCGGTTCACCCCGATTATGTTTCTAGGTTTGTCAGCACCATACCCGTGCTCCTGGGTTTCACCGAAGTGGTAAACGTCTGAGACCTGCATCACTTCGGGCTTTCCTCCCACATTAAGCTGAGACGCCGCGATTTAACTGGAATACTGTTAAAAGCGGCGTTAAAAACCCCAACTCACTCACTCACTCACTCAGTTGTTTACCACTTTGGTGAAACCCAAGTGTATGGATATGGTGCTGACAAACCTAGAAACATATAGTACAGAGACTTCTGTGTTAACAAACCCTGGACTTGTCAGTACCAGCTCTGTCAATCCCATATTAGGCATGAACTAATAACCCCCCCACTTATTACTTTAAGAAAATATGATATTCAGCAATCAACTGAACTAATGACCATGGCCGCATGACTGAAGGACCGGTGAAGGAGCCAGCCAGGCAAAGATGTTCCACGCACTCCACATCACAATAGTTTCATTACTCCGAATATCACAAGTGCACTGACTGTATGCCATGCTCACAGACCCATTGCTAATTTCAGACTTAATTAAATCATGGCAGCTCTCTCTACATGACAACACTGTTTCTTTGATTGTGAAAGAACCAATCAAACCTTGTTCCTTGGCATCTCTCGTCTGCCTGTGTTGTCTGCCTGCCATCAGACAACAGCAGGTGGAGGGCAGTAATCAAAGCAGGTATTTTTATACACCCATGAGACATAACTCAAGCTGGAACAGAGAAGTGAAGGGACCAGACCAATTCGAACATGGACACTACGTGATCTGATGCCGGACTCACGCATGATTTATGGGCACGTATAATGTGAGGGCAGACTACATACGTGTGACTTAGGTGAACTTACATGTTCATTGTAGGTAGTCACATTTGATGGACTCATACGTGGTTTGAGATGGATTAACATGTGATATTGAGAGAAGACTTACATGTTATTCGAGGGAATTACACTATTGCCTGTGCTTCCCTCAAAGCAATAAAATTTAAAACCTTTCTCACTTCGTGCTTTCTACCCAAAGTAGCAACTACAACTGAGTTATGAGTAATTAATGCAGTTTTCGTTGACACATTTTTGTATTTCTCATCTGTTACAGCTGTGAGAATGTACATGCTTGTCAAAACCCTTACCATTGTTAAAGACATCATTTCTAATCTCCATAACCAGTCCAACCCCATCTAATAACCCCTTTCAAGAACACAAATAATAGACTCATCTAAGGTTGGTGCCATTACCTAATGTTTCTTGCAAGGAAGCAGATGCCACTGTGTCCAACCAGAGAATGTTTGATCATGAATAATGGCCAGGTAGCCATAACACATGATGGTCCCATCCAACATTAGCTGGACATGAGTCTGAAGAAACAGCTGCTACTTAACCAAACCAGTTTCTTATGTATGTTAGTATACTTGTATCTAAGACAGCACAAACAAGAAAACAGTGTTTTTGTCCCCTATACATTAGACTTTTGAGTAGTGAATAACATGGAGTTTATGTTAAAAAGCATGGAGTAATGGCCTTAACTCTGTAAAATACATGTACCAAGGGAAGTAACGCAGAAAAAATAATATTAATGGCTTCAGTTTTCAAACTCTTTCTTAATAAGTGTCTCTTGGATAAGCATGCAGAGTTTTATTCACGTAACTTCAGTAGTTTCTCACAACACTTATCCCCACTGAAGACACTATGCACTAAGAAAACAAGGACACACACAAAATATTTCTTTCAGAAAAACCTAAACATCAAAAGGCACCAGTTCATAATATGTGTTTGATACATATGCAAACTTTCATAATAAAATATTATACGATTTCCGACTGGAAACAGGGAATTGCATCTGACAATTTTGTCAAATGAGCGACATTTGGAAATGTCCACATGTCTACCATAAAACTTTTGAAAGCTTTACTGGGGACTAAGGATGCTGCAGGTTGTATCTCTTTGCTGCCAGGATGCACTGTACAAATCCCACCTACGTTGTGCTGAAGATCCTTCTCCTGTCAACATCATGCTCATGGATGCTCATGGGCTTCATCAAAGTGGTAAACAAGTATGAAATGCGTCACTTCTGGCTTTCCTCTCGCATTACGCTGACATACCATGATATAACTGGAATACTGTGCAAAGCTTGATAAATCCCAATTGACTTCAAATTCAATAATATCAACTCATGAACACAGCTTGAGGCCTTAAAAGCAACCTCTCTCACACATTAGTGCAAACAGATTTATTTGCATTTCTATACCTTGCATTATTAACTGCAATTTTGTTTGAAGGTAGACTTACATGTCACAGATTCCCTATTAATCTTGAATTCATCCAACCCGTGAAGATTCCAGGGTAGAACAGGTCTTCAGCCACCCAATCTTGCCGTAAAAGGCAACTATGCTTGTCGTAAGAGGCGACTAACGGGATCGGGTGGTCAGACTCGCTGACTTGGTTGATGCATGTCATCTTATCCCAGTTGTGTGGATCAATGCTTATGATGTCAATCACGGGATTGTCTGGTCCAGACTCAATTATTTACGGATTGCTATCATACAGCTGGAATTTTGCTGAGTGCAACGTGAAACAACAAACAAACAAACCATTCATCCATTGTGTAGCTGTTATGTTAAACCAGAGATTAACATATCAATATTACTCTTCAGTAGGTTTTATATTTATTTTGAGGGCTTACAAGACCTACTGACAAAATTAATCTGAAATTAGAAAGGGGAAAACAAATTACTTTTGACAAAATCTTCTTTTGTCCGACTCTGTTCTACTATTAGGTGAAATGAAAACGCAAGATTTTACATGGTGAATAATACCTATAAAATTTTAATTTCTTTTAGCCAAAAAATACCAATTGATTATCTTTCGGTATCATTTTGCAATCATACTTTCATGATGGTGTGACCTACAAGCTTGTTTTTCATTCATTAGTAGCAGT